TCTCGCCGTGAGCCCGTCCGGCTTCCCACGGCCCGGCGGCTCGCCCGGCTCCTCTGCGGGTGTTCTCAGAAGAGAAGGGGAGATGGTAAACTGAGGCACGCGGTTGAGAATAGAGTGGTGGAGGTGGAACTGCTTCGTTAACTCGCAAAGGTGTTCGTGCCAGATGTATTCAGAGACCTAATTTTCTGTATGAAATGTGACACTTATTTATTCATGTAGGGCTCCATGAATTTGGTGGGTCTACACTGACAAATGAGTTTAGAGGTGTTCTGCAGCACACTCGTGTAACAGTGTAGACAAAAGCAAATGGCATTTGGATTTATTTAGAATAAACGAAGTGCTGGTACACCAGCTGAAAGTAGAGTGGGTTCGATTCAGAGATACCTGCATATTTGTATCTTGCAGTATGGTTGTATGTGAAGTTTTCTTGGCAGAAAGACCTTGCAAGCTATGGTGGTCTCAGCAGTGTTTTCAGTTTGAATAGTCAGAATTGAAATCTTTGTAACTCTTGATGGCTGGTCAGCTTTTCCATTTTCAGTGAGTTTTCATCAGCACAGACTTCAGGTTTCCATGAACATCTGAACTCATGACAATTTTACTGTAGTTGTGCTGTAGAGCCGAGTTTCAACTCCTTATTTGTTCTTCTGTTTTTTGAAAAGGACAACATTATCTAGAAACTATCAAAATCATTTTCAGGTGACTGTAGCTGGAAAGTGGTTTCTTTTGTAGATGGTCAGCTGGGTGTGCTGAAGGTTCCCAAGACACGGGGTCCTCTCTGCTGTACGGAGTGCAAAGAGGCCAGGGGGGAATTGCTCCGCTGGTTTAGCTGCGGTGACTACAGTGGAAACATACCTGCATGTGGATGTTCTGTACTGGTGTAGAAAGTGTCAGCTGCAGTAGCAGTACAACTGGGCTGTCGTTTAAGATCATTTGTGCAAGTTTCTGGCAAAAGGTGTAGTTCTGTATTCCTCCCACCTCCTTTGTGCCTGATGCTTGTGAGACTGCACAGTGAGCTAAACCAGGGACCTTCCCTCTCCAAAACGAACCCAGCGAAAAGATTCTCATGTCAAAGGGATGCATCCATGGACCTGGTGTTCTCTGTGGCTGGAGTGCTTGGCTCAGCAGACCACCAGTGGCGTTGGGCGTTAAGTTTGGACCATGGCACTGAACCTCAGTTGCCTGGATACCAAATGAAACAGCCCAAACCATGCTCACTTCTGCATAATTCTCTGCTGGTTATGCTCAGCTTAGACCAGTCCCAGACCTGCCCTAACTCGTGCTGGCCTGACCCATCCTATGTAGTGGAGACTTCTGGTCTCTCTGTAGCTTCTCTCAACGGAACCAACTGTGGTCAGTCATGCTGCGTTGCTGTCCCTTGCCCCTTCTGTCAGCTTCTGGCGCCCCAAAGCAGTGTTCTGGGGACATGGTGGGGACCTTGCCTTTGGGCTGTGTGCACTGCAGGTTAGGTCTGGCATGCCTGTGGGGAGCTGCTCTCAAGGGCTCGCTTTGCAGACTGAGGGTTGCTGGGGCGTGCAGTGCTGTTGCCGCAACACTGCTGTACTGGTCGGAGTTCCGCAGTGTTGGGGGAACTTCCGAGCTTTTCTGGAGATTGGCTTCACTAATTGAGCAGGCCAGACTTCACTGTCACTGTGATGTCATCGTACTTAAACCTTTTCAACATACACGAACCGAATAAATGTCTGTACCCTAGGAGAGGCTGGGGCAGAGCTGGACAGCCTGCCCAAGCTGCGAGCAGTTGATGTTTTCTGTGCCTGTTTGGACCCCTGTGAAGTGTCTGCAGATGGCTTTCTGGTCTCATTCACAAATAATGTGTATCCTGGACAAGCTGTTTGATTTTTTTATTTTTTTTTTCCCCTCCAAGAAAAGCTGTAAATGGATACATAGAGGTGTTCATGTGGGGAAGAAAAAGTGCATTTTTTTAAAGGAGGTAACATCCTTGAAATTGTAGTTCCTGGAGGTTGCTCTGGTTTTGGCAAGTGAATTAGGAGATATGGTAAGATATTAAATCTTGCTCCAGACTTTTCTGTGTCTTCAGAGTAGTAAGGGTAGTGTGGCTCGATGTCTGGTGTGAAATTAATCTCAAAACCATGGATAACAATTAGCCAAGTTCCTGGCCTGAGTCTCTGCTAATGCCCAATTTATACTGGTGCCAGTGCCTTACTATTCCTGCCTTTGACCATCACTTCCATAACAACACTACTGCATATAGAAAACAACACCTTTTGTCAGTGATCTCTTTCTTTGTAGTTAATAGCATGTGGCGTCTGATAGCAATCCCCTGACTTCTTGCTATTTTAAAAAGTAAAACTTTTAAATCTAAACTTTATATTATAAGCTTTTAGTGAAAAAAAAAAAATTACTCAGTTGCAGAAAGGCTAGATATTTTAAATAAACCTTTGAATCAGTCTTACTTCTGCCTTTAGCATTTATTTGCTTCGTGCTATTCACATGTAGAGAAATGCAGGCAGTCAGCAGAGCTTCTTCAGTAGTCGGATTATTGGGGAAGGATGCTATCCTTTAGAGTTTGGTTTAAAAATTCTGCTCCTGAATATACAGTCAGAATGTCATCTTTATGCTGCTTTTGGGTGGATGCCAAACTCAATAGCCATTGAAGTCAGTGTTACGGAAGGAGATGAGAAAATGGTATGTCTTTGCCCCTTCAAGGCCCTTGTTGGCCTTCTACGAAGGGGTTACAGTGGCAGTGGACAAGGGAAGATCAACTGATGTCATCTACCTGGACTTGTGCAAAGCATTTGACACCGTCCCACACAATATCCTGGTCTCTAAATTGAAGAGACATGGATTTGACAAATGGAACACTCAGTGGATAAAGAACTGGCTGGATGGTCGCATGCAGAGATGGTCAGCGGCTCAGTGTCCAAGTGGAGAGCAGTGACGAGTGGCTGACGAGTGGTGTTCCTCAGGGGTCTGTGCTGGGACCTGTACTATTCAGTGTCTTTGTTGCGGACATGGACAGTGGGATCGAGTGCACCGTCAGCAAGTTTGCCGATGATACCAGGATGTTTGGCGAGGTAGACACGCTGAAGGGGAGGGATGCCATCCAGAGGGAGCATGAGCCAGCAATGTGTGATCGCAGCCCAGAAGGCCAACTGTATCCTGGGCTGCATCAGAAGTGTGGCCAGCAGGTCAAAGGAGGTGATTCTGCCCCTCTACTCCACTCTCGTGAGACCCCACCTGGAGTACTGTATCTAGCTCTGGAGCACCCAACATAAGAAGGACATGGACCTGCTGGAGTGTGTCCAGCTGGAGCGTGTCCAGAGGAGAGCCACAAGGATGATCCGAAGGCTGGAGCATCTCTGCTATGAGGAGAGGCTGAAAGAGTTGGGGCTGTTCAGCCTGGAGAAGAGAAGGCTCCGGGGAGACTTTATTGTGGCCTTCCAGTCCCTTAAGGGGGCCTACAGGAGAGCTGGAGAAGGACTTTTTACAAGGGCATGTAGCAATAGGATGAGGGGGAATGGCTTTAAACTGGAAGAGGGCAGGTTTAGATTAAACATTAGGAAGAAATTTTTCACTTTGAGGGTGGTAAGGTACTGGAACAGGTTGCCCAGAGAAGTTGTTGAGGCCCCATCCCTGGAGGTCTTCAAGGACAGGCTGGATGTGGCCTTGGGCAACCTGGGCTGGTGGGAGGTATCCCTGCCCATGGCAGGGGGGTTGGAACTCAATGATCTTCAAGGTCCTTTCCAACCTAAACCATTCTATGGTTCTGTGATTCACCCTGAAGAAGTCAGTGGTTGCACTTCAGCACAGGCTGCCTGTTACGAAGTGGTGGTGTAGCTGGGGTAGCACCTGTAAAGGTCTTAGAGGAATATTGTTGCAGTTGATACGGCAGAGAGATTGGAGGGGATTGTTACTGTATGTTATCCTCTCTGAGGGTTAATGCAGTGACAGTGTAAAAGGTGGCTCGCAGCTGGCTGGTTCATGTGTGTGAGCAGGCTGCGGGCACTCAATGGAGGCTGCGCTTCTTTTCTCTGTACAGCCTCTGTCAGACCCTTGCATTTTACAGAGCTCTTCAGCTGATTGGCTGACACCCTAAAAAGCAAACTAGTGTTTCCCAACCCCCTGAAAAGTGTTGCCAGTGAACGGAGAGAGGGAGACCACAACATGGGCACAGTCATATGGGAAATCTGCAGTAGAATTTCAGAGCAGATGCCTTTCCAGTTACTCTTGGGTGCTGTTGTCTTTTTTTTTTCCTTTCCTCTTTTCTGCAACATTAAGCAAATACCCTCACATGAACAAAGCAGGAGGTTTCCTGCTTTGAATCAAGCCAGAGCTTGATTCTTCTTTCTTCCCAGACAGGAACTGCTGAGTTTGTGCACTGTACTGCAGTGGTGGGACAAATCACCCTCAAGTAACTTAAAAGAAACACTGATGTAAACACACTTAACTGTGTGATTTAAATAATGCCACCATTGGATCTGTGAAGTAAATAGCCATTATAAAACAACCACCTTGCATGTTTAAAAAAAAATAGTTAATTAAAAGATCATGTGTTCTGTCCAGTGAATGCACCAGCTGTGCATTAATTATGCCAACAGCAGGCAGAAAGGTCATGGTCTCGAAATGGAGTTAGAAGTTAACTTCTGCATTTCTTCTAATTTCTTTGACATTTTTTGTGTATTACATGCTTGAGAATAGGCATCTGCAAGAAGGCAACAAAAAAACATGAACACTGCTGGAGATTCTGTGCAGTGTAGAGAGCCAAGCTAAGTAATGGTGAAGCTGTGCTTCTGTGAGGACAGGGAATGTTGGTTAGCTTGATGCGCACAGATGTTATTTCTTTTACCGAATACAAACGTTTCTGCTTTGCTGTACTCCCCACAGGTCGGTGTTGACTGTTGCTTGTGAACAGACTGAAGTACTGCTTTTTGACCCAATATCTTCAAAGCACATTAAAACTCTCTCTGAAGCTCATGAAGACTGTGTCAATAATATCAGGTAGGCCAGAAGGAATGAGAGACCTCATATTTTATCTTACCATAGATGCTTTTCTTACGATAGTGTGGTAAGTTTGTGTTATGTGCTTTCTTGGGGGGAGTGGGTTTTGTGAAGCCATTAGGCTGCTGTTTGCTTTGTGCCATTTTCCTTCTCTTCAGTATTGGAGGTGGTGAAAGGCTGGAAAGGGGAAGAGGAGGAATCTGAAAGTGGTGGTGGTATATAATGCTGGCAGATGGTTTTGGATGGAAGAGCTGCAGTTCATGGGAGGAGAAGAGTGTCTTCTCCCAGTGGCTGCAACACAGGTGCATGCAGGGAAAGGCTGGGGTCTTTCCTCCATTGTGGACAGTTTATCATACAGTTTTGCAAAAGATTTCTCATTTTTCTCAGTCATTTTCTTGGTTTTTTCAGTCAATTTTTTCCATGGCTGCAACAGTGAGGGGATGAGAGAGACTGTCTTCATACTGATGTACTCTATTAGCCACTTCATTTACAGTTGGTGTGTCGGCATCAGATCCTCCCCAGACCATTGTGGACAATGTGTGGGAATACGTCGGTGGTGCACTCTGCACAAACTTCCGCAGCATAGGTAGTTTGCATGGCATTTCATCAGGGTCTACATTCACTTACCAGTCACTGTAAATCACGTCTCACACAGCCAATTCTCTCAGATACTTAATACCTTTTTCCATGCTGGTCCATCTGCTTGGGCAGTATTTGATGTCGTCCTTAGAAGGATACCTGCTCTTTATGGCTGATTGGAGTTGCCTCCAGAGACTGAGAGTGTGTGACTTTCTCCCAGTCACTTTATTGATACCTCTGTCTCTGGCCAGGTTTCCCAGCTGCCTGGCTTCTCTGCCTTTTAAGTCTATGGTATCCGCCCCATTATCCCAGTATTGGAGCACCCAGATGATAAGTGTCTCACCTTCATGACGGCTAAAGTCCTTTCTCATGTCTTGCAAATCCTCCATAGATAAGGATTGAATGATTACCTCTGTGTCTGATTCCCCCTCCTGCGTTGACTCTGCCCGAGAAGGACTCTCTCCCTGATCTGCTTGAGGAGGTCCCTTTCCCGGATCTTCTTTAGAAGGACCCTTTCCCAGATCTTTGCCAGAACTCCTCTCTCCCATGCTATCTGGCTTTATCTGGCCTCTGTCATAAGGGCCAGGGGAACAAACTGCCTTGTTTTTCTGTTTGCTGGTCACTGTGGTGACTTATACCAGTACTGATGGAGTTGGAGTAGCAGTAGTATTCGTTGTCAGAGCAGCTTGGGTGGCTTATGGTGGTATGGGCGGCGCACACCTATTCCTGCACCATATTTAATAAGAAACCACCCATGCAACACATGCAGAAGAATCGATGATGATGATAATAAGAAAAAGAGCTGACCCTTTGATCCCTCAGCATTTATACTGAGCATGAGGCAGATGGGATGGAATACACTGTTGGTCAGTTCTCTTCCCTCTATGCTTTTCCACTTCCAACCCTCCAATTTGATACGTAACGAAGTTAGCTGACCTTATTGGTTGTGACAACAATAAGTATAAGCAAGTGCCTCTCTGCATACCATGCCTTGGTATTCACTATAAACATCAGACCTTATCTGCTAGAGGTGGACATAATACACTGTTCATTTCAGTTAGTTAGAAGAGGCTTAATTGAAAAATTACTGAACAGAAAATTGGTTCTGTTTTATGTCAGACCAGGACAGGTATTGTCAGCTGTTTTAACTGGCCTTTGGAATGCCCTGAATGAACATGGTAAATCGGAGCGTAACAAGTAGTATGTGATTTATGTTTGAATTGCAAGTCTGGGACTATAGCAAGATTGGGTATTTATATGAATATTTTGAATCTTAAGAGTAATTGCCATAGTTGCATGAACATTTCCAAACAAAGATTGGCTGCTTGAAATACTGGTAGGATATAGACAAGTTGGGAAAGTGAAATGGCTTCTGCAATTCAGCTTAAACTCAGTCTTTATGGTTTAAGTCCTGTGCCTGTTTCCCAGGATGAAATGGGAAACAGCAAGCGCAGGAACCTAAATCATCAGTATTTTTGTTATCTGATGTTTTTCCTTTTAAATTCTATTATTTTTAGCCTAAAAATAATAAACCTTATAATAAAATTTAACCCCCAAAACCAAACCCAAACAAAAACACCCTCAAGAAAACTGTAGAAGCAGTCTGAGCGTTTCCCCTCAGAAGAGCTGAATAAAATGTGGAGTGCCACTATCTTTACGCGTTCTACAGATAAATCGATGTTTTTCACAAGTTGTTTGTCCTTTTTAGAAGAGACTGAAGTTTTACATCAGTTGGATGTCTTTCAGAAAAGCTAAAGTAAAAGCTGGTGTTACCTGACCCGAATAGAAAAGGAGATGTTGAGAACATGCTTTTCTGTAAAATACAGTTTTTCATGTGTTCCATTCTGGGGGTTGTCCTTTAAACATGCTTGGTTTTTAGATAGGTGAGAAATAAAGCCAAGATATTGGAAGGCAAAGGCAAACTGGATTTATTTTGCTTTTTATACATCTCTAAGTCAGTAGCTGATCCTTATATTCAAACTGCTCTTGCTAGCGTTTCAAATAAGTTAGTCTGGATCATGTTTTAAAGAGTGTTCTGTTGCAGGCTCCTTGACCGGTTGGCTGGTCAGCTGTGCTGGTCTTGAAAATTGATCTCATTCCTTGGTTGACAACAGCATTGAAACTTCCTGCCACTCTCTTCTCTTATTCAAAGGATATCCTTTCTTTCCACTTTGTCTGTGAGGCTTTGTAATTCTGTTCTTGGTCCTTAAATGTCTTTTCTCTGTATAGTTTGATTTACATAAAAATACCAGTACTACCTCCAAGCAGATAACTCAGATCTACTGTTAATCACAAGACTGAGGTCCTTCCTAGCAACATGTTGTAAAGTTTCTGCTCTCCTTTGCAATGCCTCTTAAAGCTTTATTTGTTCTTTGTACGATAGTGGCATGTTTTCCTGTGGTTTCCTGCATGTCCCCGTTTGTTGTTATAAACTTAGTTACAAGGTACATATTCTGTAATACATGGTTAGTACAGCATAACCTGGAGTATTGTTTCTGCTTAATGGGTAGGACTTCAGGCATTATACTACTACATAAATTCCTTGAAATAAGTACTAAAAATAAATACTGTTCCTGCTGTGCCCTGTAGCAGGTGCCTCAGGTGTACGTATGAACAGAGAAGGATGTGGTGGCCCCTCCCTGTAGTCTCCCAGTTGCTGGCAATTTGTGTGTAACCGTCTGAAGCAGATATTTTTTTCCGCTTGAATTTGGTCAGGTTTTGAGCTTACTTAAAACTCTCCGATGGCAGAGCTTGATGGCACAGATGTGTTTCAAGGGGTGTTTAATAGTGCTTTTTAAAACTTGCTACCTTAGTTTGAGGCCCTCTGGGTGTCTTCTTTTCTTAAGTACTAAGAGAAAGAATAATTAATCTCTATTTACTTTCTCTGTGTTGGTCAGTTTCATATGCTGGAGTCATAATGCACCTTTAATTAGCTGTTTTTCAAGTGAATCCTAGTCTATTTGGTCATTCCCTATGTGAAAACTGTTCAATACTATTTGTATCTCTCTTTCTATCTCTTCTGAAACCCATTTGCAGTGGGTGAAGCAGGGCTGCTGTAGCATCCGAGATAAAGGCGAAGGATGAATTTATGCAGACAAGAGGTGTCCTGTGTTTTACTTTCGCCCTGAAAATCTGAAATGTTGGATTCTTCAAGTTGTAGTTGGTTATTTTTCACTGGAGTTGTTGCTATTTTTACATGTTGTAGCCTGATTTTAAGTCTAAAAGATAAAATGCTGTTTCTAGGGGTGACTTACTGCTTGTCTCTGTAGATTGTTCTTGCCTTAGTATTCATGTGCAGGTACTTCGGTGTTTTTCGCATAGGTTTTATTTTCCATTTTACATCAGTTCGGGCTTTTTTTTTTTTTTTTTCCCAAATGCCTTCATCAAGCATGAATTCCAAACATAAAACAGTATTCTTTCCCTTCTAAAAGTAAGGGCATGCATAAATTGCAGTGGGAATGTCATATGATAAACTTTGGTCTGTGTAAAGCAAACTAAATAGTTTTATCCAGTAATTTTCTCAGCGAACCAAATAACTTGTCTAAGTACGCTTTCAAAGTCTTGTCTTCATTTGGTGTTTTTGAAAAATCTTGCATTTGCTTCAGTAACCTCTAGACTCAATTTATTTATTACCTAGCTGTGCCTTTTTAGTGCTGCTTCCAGCCCTTCTATCCCCTTCTGTCTGACAAAGTGTTTTTATATCAGATATTCTTTCCTTCTGTAATTGCTTGAAAGTGGTCGAGCTGCCTCATGCTACTTCGAGCCGGAGTGATATATACATTGAATTTTGTCTGAAGACCAGAAATTGTCATGATAAGGGATTACCACCTGAACAGGCTAAGTACTTAACCTGACCAGCGTAGTAATCCATGGTCTTTTGCACTTTCTCATCTTCTCTGACATTAGTGATGAGCTTGTCATCTGTTAACAAAGCAAGAACTCAAGACCTGCTAAGTGCAGAACATACACTATGCATGTGATATAAATTCACTGCTGCATAAAAGTGTACTGTAGAACTGCAGGTCTGTAAATTCCTTGTGAAATACAGAGCAGTAGGCTTGCTGCTCTTGCAGTAATTTGAGTCAAACAGAATTTTATGTTCTATTGTGATTCAAACTCAAACCACTCAAATCCTCAAATGCATGTCTGTATTGAAGGAGTCCATAAATTTGGGTGGCCTGTGCCACTTGTGCAGCTGCTACTTCCAAAGATGATCTGAAATTCTCTTGCTGAACAGTGCTGTGCACTTGGACTTTGATATGTGTATCTGCTTTTGTGCATTTGAAATGGCCAGCTTTGTGTGCCTGCTTTAAACATATGAACTGTATTGTAGGGTAAGGAAAGGCAGAAACACTGGAGCAAAAGCCCCTTGCTTCTTGATGGAGGCTGTTGATACTGTCCAGGTGGTACAAAATCTTCTGGATGCAGAAGATCTGCATGGCTCCTCCTGGCTCTGTGGCTGCAGCGAGCAGTGCCCCTGGGGCATTGTGGAGCTGGAAGGGCTCTGAAGCAAAAGGTGGGCAAAGGTGGAATGAAATTAAGGGTCTAGGGAAATGTGCAAACGGTGGCAGTGTTCAGATTTAAATCTAGTACACGTTCCCAAGATAGCAGTACCGCGTGTAGTGTAAGCCATGTGGTTAGTAAGGCAAGCCATGTGTTGGGCAGTTAATCTGCTGGATTAAATCTCTTGGAAAAGCACCATTGTACGTCCTGTGTAGAGCCATGGGGCCAGGTCTTTGGCATGGTCGGTGCAGAATGTGGTGTGCTTCAGGTGCCTGTGCAGAGCTGCGGCCATGTCACGGAGCGGCAGGAGGTCTTGTTAGAAAGGGCCTCTGTAGATGGACCACCTGTAAGTGCCGGGGTTTGGATTGCTTCCCCACCATCCTGCTAAGCTTGGCACTGAGCCTGTCCAGCATGGGCGATTCCACCGCAGTCTGTGCCGGGCTGGCTAAGCAGGGGATTTCTG